AAAAACAATTTTGAGTTAAATTATCTTCTTTCAATATCACTTTTGTCTCAGGAAGTGTTGTTCACTCCAAAACAGAGTCCATGGACCAACTGTCATGTTTGTAGCTTTTTCTGTTTTTGTAAATGGGATGATTTGTTCACATTAAGTAATATATAATGAAATGTGAACTTTACCCTTTAAATAATGTTACAAAAGTTCCAACCTGAGCTAAAACGAGCTCAAATTCAGACACTCTCAGCCAGCAGGAGAAGCACAGGGCGTAAAGCAAACAAAAATGCAAATGTATGAAGGGAAAAAAGAACGTGCAACCACCAAGTCAGCTGCAGCAGCTGCACAGGTATTTATAAAAAAGGTATTTTAAGCTGTATACAGTCTTTTGCTGCTCATCACACAAAGCGGGATCTCAGATCTACCGGAGCCAGAGCAGAAAACCAAAACACAGTTTTACTCTAAGATAGCTTGATAATGGATTTATTTGCAGTCCATTTTTCTCCATAAAGACAGGACAACATATTCTCTTCCATGTCCTGTTTCCCTCTCTCTCTCTCTCTGTTTCCCTTGGGGACATTGGTGGGGGATGGGAGACAGTCATGACAGAATCTTTTCTTTGCATAGGATGGCGAGTGAGCAGCATGAGTGAGTGAGCCAATGGAACAAGGAAAAGGCAGAGAGAAAGATCATGTGCGTGAGGGTGTACAGTATACTGTCCGGTGGGAAGCAGCTGAGCGTTCCCTCGCCTCACTTCATCACCCTCTCTCTCATTTCGGTGCGATAAATAGCTACGTTGCCTTTACGTTGGGTTTACAGTGCGTTTTTTCTGTGTCAATATCCGGGTTATGGTATTTTTTGCCCACTTGGCGCTGCTCGCTCAGTTCTCTAGAGGAGCATTAACGTGTGCACGAGGACCAGAACACATCAGACCACCAGTGCTCCTGTACGTGTGTGGCAGAGGTCCTGCAGCCTCCAGGGAAACGGGGCCTCTCTGGAACACTAACCCCAGCTGGTATGCCGAGCTCTGAGGCACAATCAGATAAATGACCGGGACTGGGAGCGTGAGGTGTGTGTGTGTGTGTGTGTGTGTGTGTGGTGAGGGACGGGATGGGCGAGTGAGTGGAAAAAGGAAATGGGATGTGATCGATCCCGGCTAATTCTAGGTCATTGCACTTCACGTTGAAGAGCACCGGCCACTATCACTAACACGCGTGTTGACCAGGAGAATGATTGTTGCTGGAGAGTAATGGAACGATTAAAGTTCGCAGTCAGAAAACTGTTCAGGAACTGTTCAAACTGAAATCACCGGGATAAGATTGACAATCTTGAGTCATGTGACTCAAATTAATACCCGTCCAACATCAATTCAATTAAAAGAGAGGTTCATCCCAGCATGTGGAATAAAGACACCTGGTGTGTGCTCTACCCCCCCACCACCACCACACGCTGACACTTGGTCAGGGGCCCCGCTCCTTTGGTTTTGAGTGGGCAGGGTGCCACCTAAGCATCATTTCAGAAAGTGTGATGCTTAATGAGCTGAAAGTTCAACGGTCACAGGCTGCATGGCCTCGCAAATGTGGAGAATAGCAGCAATAAAATGCGTCTTATTGTGCACATGAATGGCAAACTGTGACATCTTTCTACTAACCTAACCCAAGTACGTTAAAGGAATAAGGACTAGCAGTGGACCGGCACATTAAATAAAGCTAAAGATGAGGAGGTGAACAGCAGTCTAAAGGTCAGTAAAACTCTCGATTGGTAGCTGGGTGACCGTCCACATCCACGCTATTTACTTCCACAAGAGCACGTTTATTTAAATGTATCATTTGACTCTTCTTCACCTCAATTATGAATAACTGAATACTATTATCAACAATAATGATACTGTTGCCATTTCAATTTTGAAACATTTTAAAACTTTTATACTCAGCAGACAAGCAAAACTTATTTTTTGACTAACTTAAAAAACATATTAACTTATTAGTTCTTGACAGTATCTTGATGTTTTTTTTTTATTTAAACAAAGTCATTTTGATGGCTAGAAATATTACATTTTTTGTGTTCCGTAGGACAAAAATGATCTTGGATGGGGGCTCTGTGCCCCCTAATATAGGTTGAATTCATGGAAACAAGAAAATCTCTAGAATAGGCATCTTTTTTCATAGCAATTTATATGGGAAGGAGCCCAAATGAACAAAAAAAGAGGGAAACGCCCTCCATCTTCAGACTACTTGTGTCTGCGTGGCAGCCTCTATAATCAGAGAGAATTATAGAAGATCCCTCAGCAAATGACAAGATCCCCCCGGATCCCTGAGATGAGCACTATCATGAGAGCGAAGGGGAGCTAGAATATTTATAAGAACAAAGTTATTCTGTCTTCTCTCCCTGGAAAGAGAGATAAATATTTAAGATTTTGTAAATGTCACCTATAGAAGCCTGAGTTCTTATCAGCGAACGTCCACCAAGCCCAACTAAGCCCCAATGAAAGAGCGAGGAAAAGAAGAACAACCCCTGGCTTTCTAGGGGTCACCCCACAGGTATTTGAGGCCTGGTTGTAGGACACTCTTGGTGGGGAGGTTTCCCAAGGCTATCATTAACTATGATACACCAGCCTTTGCTGAAGCGGGGAAAGCTAGGCTAACAGATAGATCAAGAGGATTGTTTCGAATGGAGCCAATGCTCTAAGTGTAGAGAGGCTCTCTTTAAACAGGAAGTTACTGTTTCTCTACATGCAAACACACACACACACACGTTAGAGTTAGAGCCAGCCGGCTAATTACAGGCCAGTCAGCAGTGCTGGATTTCCATCCACGCTTTCTGTAGCACCTCCAGTCAGATGACAGCAAGTTGGCAAGCCTTGCAGCTGGAGGCTTCTCTCTCTCTCTCTCTCTCCCTCCCTCTCGTTCTCTGCTGCATCCCTCCATCCTCCCAGGATTCCCTCCTGTTGGGTTACACACTTCCACTTTTTCGAGCCGGCCAAACTGCTGCTAAGGGACGGGAGCGTGACCGTGTCACGGGAGGTGCGCGAGCTATAGGGCTGGGACGCTGCAGCGTGGGGGGGGGGTTTGACTCTGACACTGCTGGAAATGCTGGGAACTATCCGATGACAAGTTAATCCGCAGCAGTTGTACCTATTCCAGGGCTGGAGCATATTAATGCTGCTTCAGGATGTGTTATTCCCGGGTGATTCATAGGTATAGAAAGCGGGGATTTACTGTTTCGATGACTCATGGTGAGTCACCGAGGATGTAAAGAGAGAGCATACTATAATGTGGCGCTGTGTGAAAAATTAAAGGCACTTTAAGTCTTGCCCTTGTGCTCCCAGAACAAAAAGGGGGAACAAAAAAGCCCTTCAACCACCTTTTGTCGGGATAAACCCCTTGGTGGTCAAGGCCTGGATCCCGAAAACATGCCTTAATCCGTGTGCAAATAATGTGCAGATAGGCCTCCTCACATGCTGAATCCATTCAGCTTGTTAGGCTTAATGGTCACCCAACACCGGGTCTGACGGTCAGTCGGTCATGGCTGTGCCAAATAGCAGATTCTTTTGTCCCCGGTCTGCCATGGCGAAGTTTTACATAGCAGCTGAGCTAAGAGAGACTATAACTGACAATCCCATTCAACCCCAAGAGAAAGAGAGAACGGGGGGATGAAACGAGAGGAGAGGGGGGGAGAGAGAGTTAGTGAAAAGGGGGGAAGGAAGGCAGAAAAGGTCTGGATGAATCACGCTGCACACACCGCAGCGGCCGAGGTAGCCGTGTCTTGGAGTCCATGAGTCATGTTTATCAGGCAGCTGCACGAGGCAGGGGCAGCACACCTTTATCTCTGTTAGGACTGTTGCCTTGGGACTAATATTTACGAGGAGATGGAAAGAAAAACAGCTCGAATGCCTCTATGAAACCTCCCAGAAATGGCGAGCCATCATTTCCCATTCGATCGCACAGCCCGGATACTATCTGAAGCCACATCTTTTCACAGCTGAAAGAGTTCCAAATACTCTAGCTGCATTCAAATACATCCAAATGCATTTGCTTCTAAGTTGTGAGAGAACAAGCCATGTGCAGACCTTCATCTGAGAGTGAAAACCACAAGAAAATCAACAGGATGGAAACATTTAAGGCCACCACTCTGAAATCCCTCTCTCTTGATTTGCTTGACTTCAACAATAACCTCAAAGAACATTTGTTTTTACACCGGCAATTCACAGGCCGAGACAAATGATCGTAATATCCAATCATTGACTACATTTACGACCCACGGTGTGAAAAGTTAAAAGCCGCGAGAGCGGAAACACTCCGGTCCACCTTAAAAAGTAAAACCTCACAGTGGACAGCTCCGTGGTGCTGAAACAGCTCCCAGCGACATCTGTACAGAAGAGCAGCGCGGAGTGGGGGTGGGGAGGTGGTGGGGGGGATAGTGGGGGTAGTGGTAGGGGGGGGGCAACGCAAGCTCTACCGGGGTTTAAACGTTGAAATCACACGCGCCCCCCGCCACAAAGGACACCTTAAATGATCCTCGCGGTGTCACGTTGTGTAATCTCGGTGACGTTTCGCGGGGAAAGGTTGAGCGATTTTTAGCGTGCTTTTTTTTTTTTACGTGAAAATGGCGGCCGTCGCCGAAACCCAGCCCACCCGGTGGCAAGACCACGTCCGATAAACAAAGTGCCGGGGAAACAGTGTAAGCCGGGTAAAAAAAAAAACGACAGCTCTGACTCAAAACCGGGTCGCCTCTAAGGTGGGAGTCGAAAGAAGTCACGGGAGGGGGGGGAGGGGGGGGGGGGGGCCGGGCTCACCCCGGGGCCCGCCCCGAGTGGGCGAGCCTCAAAGAGCACCAGGTTAGTTGTCACGAGGCCACATGACCCTCTAGTACTACTCCACTCAGACAGTTGACAGCTCCGAATCCTTTTTTGGTTTGTTTGTTTGTTTCCTTTCCCCCCCCTTTCCTGAGCCCTACCAAAAAAATATGAATAAACGAAGCCCTCTCCCCCCGTTATCGCGAGCGTTTCTTACTTTAACATGGACTGCTCTTTCGCCTCCTCCTTCTTCTGTCGGTCCATGACGCCGAGGATGATTTTCCTCTCCTCCTCGGTGAGGTGGCTGAGGTCCGGCATGTCCGGCATGGCGCCGGCCGCCGAGGGAGGAGCGGCGGCGGCGGCAGCGGGACCAGGGCCGCCCCGGGGCCCGTGTGGAGCAGACATCTTCTACACACAGTGGCTGGAAGAAAAGGGGGAAGACAAAATAA